AATGCCCTTCAGATGATCCAGCAGTGATTGAAGACAGCCATCCTTCAGATTTTGGTTAAACCCAAGGATAAATAAAGTCTCATGAAATGCTGGCATTGTGAAAGGCAGAATGTGGCACTTCTGAAAGACAGGTCCACTGAGGATGTGCAGAGAACCTGAGAGGAAGTCTGGTACTTCAATGACATCCTGAACATGCACTAGGAGAGAAGGTCTAAGGCAGACCTTGGCCTGGCCATAGGTTCCTTCACAAGCTTCTTCTTTACCGTCTCTTCCAGGGTTCTTGGGAAGGCTAAGTTCTGAAAATGACACTAGAAAGTCTTCTACATCTTGTGATGTCCCACCAGTCAGGGACTCAGAATTTGAGTTATCCTCATGGAGACTAATCCAAAAAGCAGCTGATAGAAAGTCACAATTCCAGAAAGGAAGAACACTGGCATCTTCCTGTGGCAGCAAAGGGAAGGAACACTTCAGCCTTTTTAGAGGGAAAGCTTTGCCTAATTCAGCAATGAGTTTCTCATTTATGGTTTTGATAGGATGACATGAAGGTGCTTCCAGGAAACCCCTGTTTAAACATACACAAAAATAACTTTTCTAACTTAAGATAGTAAATAATTATAATGTAGCTAGAATTAAAAATACAAATAGCTGGACAGAAAAGAATTACCCTTAAATTGATCTTGAAAGGAAACAAAGAAATCATCTACCATAAGGAGAAACAGGTGTATTTCAGAACTCTGACAGCCACTATCCCTGCAATATATCAGAAAATGTGACCATTTTTAATTCTAGAGACGCTTAAGGAGGCCAGGCTGACAAATAAACATAGCACCCACATCACTAACAATTTATGTACCATCCATTCAATATATGGTTGCCATCAAGACAATCAGGATACAACTGGAGATGGAAGTGATTTCCAGCAAAATAACTGGTTACCTGTTCAACTTTCCTACAAGTGCTTCTGGTTCTGGAAAGGAAAACCACTGGTTACCCACTTTGATCCTGAAGATTCTGGGTTGAGAAACTTCGAAAGGTAAGCTCCTGGTGAAGACATGGTTCAAAGCACCTTCTACATGAAAGGACTTATCTTGACTCCTGGCAAAACAGACACCAATATGAAATCTGTCATTATTAAAATAAGCAAGTATTTTTACAGACTGAATCAGTTAATTGGCAGGGTCTATGAGTCTGTTTATGAGATTTTGTTATCATTAGTGAGAGAGATGAAAAAGCAGAAGGCTTAGACCTATGCTATTACCTACCTATATCCAGTGCACTTGTACCCTGGCACAGCCTTACAGCTGAATGGATATACATCACTTAAAATGAGTCCCCCCAGGGCTGCCATGGCAACCACTTGCCAACTGTTGTGCCATTCTCTCTGGGGCTTATCCGCAGGAGTTCCACCTTGTCCTCTACATAATGCCACGTGGACTTCTCCTTCCTCTGCAAGAACGTCTGCACAGCTAATAGGGAGAAAAGAAACACTAACTAATTATCATAAACAAGTGGAAATTACCACAGGAGTTGGCAACATACACATGGTTTGCCTGTGAAATAATTAAAATCCAATCATACCTACGTGCAAAAATCTATTAGACCTCAAAAAATGCAAAGAAAGTAGCTGGAAGTAAATACAAATGTAAATTAAATGTTCAGCCCACTGACTGATACTATTGGTTGACCAGGGTCTGCTTTGCATTTGTGTTGTTCATGCATATGTCACAGAAAGGTTAATATCTGCACAGTTTCTATATATGATTCACTGCTTAGGCTGTTTCTTCCCATTTAGAAAGTTCTTTTCATTGCCCTCCTGAAATTCAAATACTAGTTTAAAATACTGCCTCTGTCAAAAGTTTATTGACAGCTGTGCCCCCTCGGACACCTGCAATAGTATCATGACTTGTGGTATAATCATGTAGAGCATTGTTTTCAGTTCACAATAATTTCATGAGGCTGTTACTTTTTTTTTTTTT